GCTTCTGGTGCTGTCGTTAACCCTGGCAGTGAAAAGAAAATTTTAGACCACCCTGTCCCCGATGTCCCGTATATACTCAGGGCCACTCGGTTAAAAACGATTCCCGTCTCTTACCTGTGTGTAGGACCTTCACGTGCCTCCTCTGAGAATTATTCTGTGCATAAGATCCACATTTTTATTCATTATTACCACATTGGGATCTGCATCGGAGAAAGGGCTTATTTCCTTTTGAACGTATTCTCTAAGCTTCAGACTCACTTATAATTATCTGAGCTTTTCCTAAGAAGAGGTATTGTGAGCTGTCATGAGCAATTCTAAGAAGCTTCAATTCAGGAAAAGAGTGGTGTAGTGGCGGTAAGGCACAAGGTTATTCAAGTGACTCCGCCAAGGTTGATAGATGTCTTATCTGCTGTCTTCTCGTCTTCATGGTCTCTCTCACTGCTTTGTCTAGCTTCCGCTCGATATCCACATCGATTCTGCGTCTTTCGCTTGCCACAAGTAGAAACTTATCAAGGGCGCTCCCGAGTTTCCTCTCCTTTTTCATCGCAGACTCAACTGGCAGGTACACTTCTGTTTCTAAGCAAGCTCGCTACGAACTTTGCGCTAGCACATCGCGAAGTTTACCTTTGAACCCTTCCACTCGCATCCCACGTACAGTAGTAATGAAGTCACTTAGTCATCTGCTTTAAAATACGTAACGTGTCCGATTCGCAATCTCATAAAGACACTTTGATCTTGTAAAGGCACTCAATTACAATATATAGCATTTTTACTTTGAATTCACAACTTCTCGGACCAAACTCACGACTTTTCAAACCAAATTCAGCATTTTTCAAACCAAATTTAGGACTTAGTTACCAATGCCTTACTAGACACTACTGCAAACCCCTCCCGCACAGCAACGCCCACATTGGTCGTTTTTCAAATTTCATTTTATACCTATTGCTTTTGTGAATTTTTTATTTCGCACATACACACTTTTCAAAGAATTCGTCGCAAGTTTCGATTTTTCACAACTTTTTCGACGTCTTCGTTTTCCCTCCCACTCTTCACACAACCGAACGGCGCCATGGCTAGGAATGAATGTTACTTTCAAGATCAGGGCACCGAGAAACCCCATTATGCAAGTTTATACAGATTTTTTTGGCAAGGTCGTGTCGCCGAACTGGCGCTCAGTGGCGCCAAATTGGCACCTAATGGCGCCAAATGGCGCCACGGCTAGAAATGAATGCCACTTCGTGAACAGGGCACTGAATAGCCCCAGTAAGCAAGTTTATACAGATGTTGTTGAGAAAAGTTGTGGCGCTGAGGTGTCGCCAAAAGGCGCCAAATGGCGCCAAACGGCGCCGGCCAAAACCCAATGTCGCAGAATATGAGCATACCCTCGGATACAGCTCGGCGAGCTGATTCTAGCCATATATGGGTATCCATACAAAAAGTCAACAGGAACAGCTCTATAACGAAAAACGAAAAAACGCGGATCGGCGTTTTTTTCGTAATTTTTTGAACACTTACGGCGGGTACTGTATGGGTGGTGGGGGAGGCAACGGTTCACCATTCTGTTGTCCAATCCTTGCTTCGCTCTCTGATCGACCCAGTGACATTCCACAAGAAACAGCACGATCTTCAGAACAGTCGAGATCTGTGGACTCCCTTCTCCCGGTCGGAGCAGTTGCGCGAGTTGCTGACGTAGGAAGCTCTTTACTCATCCCCTGTCACCGCGTGGTGCAGCTGTTGAAATCCACATTAGGAGTCGGGAAAGTTGACGATGTCAGACCTCACCCGCATACTCAGAGTGGAGGAGGGGCGATTCTGCCAAAACTATGGTGAGCATCAATGGCTCAGGCTCGGGACTATCAATGGCTCAGGCTCCTACTTGGAAACTGTATAAAGGAGAACGGTTTCGATGCTCCTATGCGCGTTTTTATTGGATCGGTGACGCCTACTGTTGATGGATGTTTGTGTGGATGAATAGCGAGTCTGTAACGAATCCCAAAAAGGAGGACGCAGCGAAACGTTTCTTTTTTAACAAGGACACCACTCAGATTTGAAGAAATCGATCTATTGTTAAGAATCACTTCCTCTCGGATATCCGCACAAAGTGACAGATGCCCGCAAAGGGCATTGTGTGAAAGGAGAATTCGAATAGGTTCCTTTCTAAACTTTCTCGTGCCCTATTCAGGTTCTTTTTTCATGAAAATTCTTTGGATCGTAGCTGGGCAGTTGCATAAGTACGGAAAAGATAGAGATGGCTTACAGCATACTTTAAATGTAGTAGAGACAGAAACCCACAATTGGAAGTTTCATCATCCCGATGTGAGGCGGAGGTGGGTTAGTGGCAAGCCCATATCCTGGGTCGACTACCAGCCGGGCCATCTACCCTCAGTTCTTGCCTGGATAAACCGCCAGTGCGAGCTGCTTTGCTGTTTGTATATGATTAGCGGTTAGTACATCACCTCGGTGGTTCCTGGCCATTGCCGCATTTGGAGAGAATGGAACCGCAGCTGCAAAAGCGTGCCTAAAAGTGAGTGGAAACGCGACTGGAGCGCAGTGGTGCCTGGATGCCATCTCCATACTCCGCCCGCGCTGCCGCACGCCAGCCAGGCGCATAGCCACAACCAAAAGCTCTACTTGTCTGTGCTCTCTTACTTCTGGTTGTTCTCCACCGCTGAGCGCTGCACTTGAAGATTGCGCAGGCGCAGTATGAACATGGCCTCCAGGTCTGTTCCCGTGAACTTTTGACTGGAGAGTGTTACGCTACTGCAGCTGCGGACCCATTCCCATTGCAAGTCCTTGGACTGGCCACGATGGTGAGTGCACTGTTTGTCTATAAGTTCTCACAGGATACCCTTTATCTTCATTACGAGTGAACTGTTAAAGTTGCCGTCCTTGATTTTCATTGACTCCTGTACTTTACCCTTTAAACCCGTTTAACCAAAGAGTAGTGTGAACCATCCGTACTTCAGATGGGTGTCGAACTGGCGACCTGCGGAGCGGTAGTCGCCTCAGTCGTCACCCTGCTACTATCGCTAGCGGCTATTTATTCGCTACAATCCGAAATCTCCTCCATGTGGTTCGAATTGGACGCGGAAATAGACAAGTTTAAGGTCAGACATTGAGAAAAATCTGCTGCCCAAGCAAACATTCTTGCGACTTCTACGCCTAAAACGGCTCTTTCAGTACCTCACGAACGACTCATGGAAAACGATGCTTACACTCGGTGTCGGTACTCCGTCCAATCGTGTTCGGCGTCAGTATGGTCACTATGGTGGTTATGGTGCTACTGGAGTCAACACACAGAGCAGCGAAGAAGAAGAGGGTAGATTGCCCCTATCGGAATTCCCAAGAGATTCATGTTTAAGTAAGAGAAAGTTTTTTTGCAGTGATGTCTCCACGCGTTATCAAGGGGCGTGAATCACAGCCAGAATTTATTATACCGAACATATGTCAAT